CCGCAGAGACTGTCAAAACCGCCGCCGCCACCCCCACCGCCATCGTTGAACCGAAACAGGCTGGTTCTGACTGCATGGAGGTTTGTTGTCGGGACATTGAGGCGGGTAAAGCTGTACAGCTAACTGTCGAAAAAAAGGAGACCGCTAGATCGTCTGGGCAAAGAGAAAGGTACTTCAACGCAGAATGGTACAAAAACAGAGAGTGGTTAATTATTTGCAAAACCACTAAACGGGCCTTCTGTGAAATATGCAGATTTGCTGCTGTCAAACGGCTTGTAACTTTCTCAAAATGTGGAGATGATAGCTTTGTTAATACCGGAGTTAATAACTGGAAAAAGTGCCCAAGCCTCCATGAACAGTTGTCTCTGACTGTACGATCAGCTGATTATGTTGTCCATGAAGACTTCATAGGAATGTATGACTGTCCTAAGACTGACGCAGAATCAATAACCCACTGATAAACTGCGATGTTAACAACCTCATGATAACCTCATATGTTTTTAACTTAGGATCATAGGCTACCTGTGTTTAGTCTAGAAAAAGGTAATTGTGTGCATTTTATTATAAAGTTGTGTATATTTACAGACTGTTGCAAAAACTGATAAGCTTATAAACATAAGGTTTAAAACTAAAAGAGCTTTACAAAAAAGTAACACAATTAAAGATGTTTGGAGTTTTATTTGAGTTATTAATTTACATTTTTTGTCAAAGAGATGCTGATTTGAAACCGTTGTAGTTACGGCATTTCCTGTTTCTGCCGGAGAGAGGGGAGTTTGTCCCAAAGCTTGCCGCTGTCTCCCTCCATCTGACAGGAGGGAGCCTCATGTGTCACCCCACGGAGTTCACTCCGTCACGGAGGGGGAGTGTGTCGGGCGTAGTTTGGGATTGGGCCATACACACGCACTTTTTTGGCCCCCCCCACTTCTAAAATGAATCCGGCGCGCCTGTATGGAGGACAGAGCATGTAAAACATATAAAATAAATACAAGAATAAATGAATAAATATTACAATAAATAAATAATGAATGTATGTATGTATAAATTAAAATTAAAATTGAGAACAAAACAGAGCACACATTATTATATATCTATGATGTATTTCTACTTTTATTTTTGTAAAAACGTACATACATTTATTTATTTTGTAAATGTTTACTCATTTATATATTTTTTATATAGTACTATTATTATTATTTCATACATATATGTGTTATGAAACTGGGCTATTATCCCTAAAAAACCTTTAAAAAAACCGTTTTCCAAGGTTTGATTTCACCTTTGTGTGTGTTGTTTTGCAATCTTTGTATAACTAGTGCTTTTGTTGATGAAAAAAATCTATCCAAATGTAGTAATTTAAAAAACCTATCAACGATAACCTGTTTGGAACCTATATTCTGTATACAATGCATTTTTTTAATTACGTAAAATTGTGTTATAATTCTCAGATTTAACAAAATAAGTGAGGAAAACTCTTCTAGCGATACCCTCCCCGACCACCAGGGGGCGCTATGCAGAGTCCTCATTATGACCCAGTGATGTGAAAGTACATTTACTTTGGCTGTACTATCTTAGGCAAACATAAATACATACATTTATAATAATAATAATAACAATAATAATAATAATAATAATAATAATAATAATAATAATAATAATAATAATAATAATAATAATAATAATAATGCTACAAATTGTTTTTAAAAACTGATTAATAATAATATTTTAAACATAACTTTAGTAAGGCTGCAATTTGAGATTTGTTCAATTCTAAACTAAATCAGCAGGTTGTTTTTTTCAATCAATAACAACACTTGTAGAAAAGCAGGAGAGACTCTCGTGGAAGAAGCGGGAAACAGCGATCAATTCACTATTTGTGTTTTCAAAAATATGTGTCTATTATTTTTCTGCAGATCAAAAGTGTTTTTTCTCAAAATGATACGAAACCCAACAACAAGCAGACAGCAGCCTTTGAACAGAAGGACACGATTTAACCTTCAACAGAATAATTTCAAGTTTATTTCATTTTGTTTCACATGGATCCCATATAATAAGAATACAGTAGAATTCTGGAGAGTCTTGGATATTTTTTTTTTCTCTGACTTATCATTATCAATAATACTAATATGAATACATCATACACAATAAACACAGCACTATCCAAAGGCGTAGAGAGAGAGAGAGAGAGAGAGAGTATCACAAGACATCATTCACCACTAACAACAGAGTATATTTCATTTCAGCATATGTATAAGAGCTACAGAGAGACAGAGAGAGGAAACAAACAGAGGTGGTGTTTCTGCATCTCAAAGAAAGAGTGGATACAAACTGTGCCATCGATCGATATATATTCTGGAGAGATGGACAACAAGTCATCCTGTGGAAGCAAAACTCTACCAATCAAGACACGTCTCTGGAGGTCTGCACGCAGAGGACTGGCAGTATAGGACGGGTGTTTAAATCTGGAAATTATTGCACCACTCACTTTGTGCTTTGAGTAGAATATAGCAGAGCTGCTGAGCAGAAACTACGACGACGCTGGATCGAAAAACACGAGTAAAACCAGAGGTGGAAGAGGTACTCAGATGCTTGGGTAAAAGTACCAATGCATTCATGTTCAACCCTCCTATTGTCTTCGTGTTCCCTCCCTTACTTTGGTGTTCACGGTCAAATTTGACCGGTCCTGTTTTAACTGCTATTACATTAACACAAAAACCATTAATCATCACCACATTTCATTTAACACCCTTTCAAACTGTAAATATTGTATCAGACTACTGGTATACATGAACAACTGCAGTAACTATACAAAGAATAGACACTGAACATGTATTGCGTGTGCCAGGTGTGATCCATGTGGGGGGATGGGCACATAAGAGCGGGAAATGTATCAAATTGTTGTGTGTGTGTGTGCCAGGTGTGATTCACATGGGGGGATGGGCACATAATGGGGGGAACACGTCTAGATGTGTGTGTGTGTGTGTGTGTTTTATCTGATCCGGATGGTTACTAATTCCTTTTCTTTATGGCGGTCATTTTTGACCGGGAACACCATGGGTGTTACAAAGTTGACTAAATCATCCAAAATTCAATGAAAGTGGTGATCAGCTATTTGATATGTTCAAATGTCTACTGTGAAGGATATCATAAAGCCTGAATGCAATCGAATGTAAAACTAAAAAGTTATGATTGATGACAGTAGTAAATCGGTCAGATTTGACCCGAAGACAACAGGAGGGTTAAATACTCCATTACAAGTCAAAGTACTATAATCCAAATCAGCAGAAATAGCCATTATGTGACACTTCCAGATTGATTACCTTCTTGCACCACGTTTTTTAATGCAACATCTTCATATAAAAAGTCATTGAAGCTTTAAATTGAATGTAGTTGGAAGGTAACACTCCATTCCAGTTAAAGTTAAAACTGAAGTATTACCAGCCAAATATCAAAAGTAAAAGTACTAATTCTGCCTTCATGTGTGATGTATTATTGTTAAATATATGACATTATTGGTGTTAATATTGTTGCATTACGTTGAATTGAACTGCTGTAGAACATCATTTTTATTCAAGACTTTCTTTTTTAACTTTTTGTAATATTTCAGATACATTTTGTTTTGTTTTAACGATAATCTTTTATTTGACCTCTTCAAGTTATTTGACTGGTTTAATCTTAAGAGATGCGTCTTGTTTTTTGATGCAAAATCTCAATCTTAAGCATTCAAATAAATCAAGTGAAGTAAAAATGTATGATTGTCCTTTTTAGATGTATTGGAGTAGAAGTTTAAAGTACCTCCAAATTGTGCGTAAGTAAACACTTTTCCACCTCTGGGTTTTACCGTGTATTCTCACTTTCCTGCAGCTTTAAAGCCTCTCGAATACGTTGACGGATGCTTTTAGGATATAAGGATGCATGCAGTAAATTCACCTTCAGAAAGAGAGGAGATGAAGAAGGGCTGAGGATGCACGAGAGGTTTTATATCGCTCAGACCGCCTCGTTATAACAATAATAACAACGTGTTTTTACTGAGATATCCGTGAGTATGTACGCCACTGATTACAGTGTGATAGAAACACCGGTTAGAAAACTATATGACTCTGTCTGACAACTTTCCGGAACAAACACACAGGCGATAAAAAAACAGGACGAAGGTTCATCGACAGCTCGACCACATAAATCTGAAACGAAGAAACAAACACACACGTCGCTAAAATCTGTTGTTCACGGCCCCGGTTCACAAAGTCCTTACTGGTAGCACACTATAGCAGCACAGCAAAGATGAGATGCTACCATGCTCACTAAATTATTATTATTATGCAACTTTTTGATCTTATATGTCAGGTTTTTAAATAAGTCATTTGATAGTGATATTTGATGGAAAAATATATATAAAAACGTAAAATAAAACAACCTACTACTATCATCTATTCACTGTTACCATAAATCACTCCGCTCACTTTTTTATTAAATTCGGTTTTTCTTGCAGCCTTCACCCCCTTGTTTCTTAAATCCTGTCAGTGATTAAAGCAGAAGATGTTGATATATTCTGAGATGAATTGATGATTATTTTATGATTCATTTAAGGGGATTATTTGAAGGGCAAAGGCTAAACTATGTGAGCTCCTAAACAGAACCAAAGTAAATGCAATTGAATAACTCTGTGCTCAACATTTGTTGTATAACAACTTTTATGGAGTGCACCATTATTCAACTGTGTACATATAATCATATATATCAGCATGTTGATATTTACACAGCACAGACAAATACATTCTCCCAAGTTAAATATTACTACAATTTCCCCGCCCCCCCCCCCCTCCCGTAAATGTAAGTCTTTTCCCATTACAAGATTTCTCTTTAAATGTTCCAATGTTTTGGTTTTTGTATTCAAGTTTTTCTCGTTATAACCAAACAGACAATCCTGTGTTGTCTTCTACAGTTAAATACATCACGAGAATAAACATCATATTATAACAACCACCCCCCCCCCCCCCCCCACCCTCCCGTGGTGCCCCCCTCCCTCCGCCTGTCACTCACAGATACACAAACAGACACACAAAGGAGTGTGGAAACGCAGGCGGGGGTCCAGAGCCACTCCAGAAACACAAGGTCACCCTGAAGGGGGAGGAAGAGAGGGGGAGACAGGGGGAGAGATTACATTACATATAGCTTGCATTGCTTTTATCAATTGGACAATAAGTGTAATCAACCATAAGGATACAAACTCAGAACAGCAAAAAAAATGCAGATGAATACGCTAAACTCTCTAAGTGCACATTTTTTAATGTATTATGATATTTTTGGGGTTCAATGGCCAAGGTACAAGCAGAACACGTGGGCTTTCAGTCTTTGGCGGTAGATATGTACATTTCTGCTGTTCTGATGTTAATGGGTAGCTTGTTCCACCATTTTGGGGCGGTACAGTATACAGAAATACACATGTGAAAAAAAAACATTGTTTGTTTTATTGGCCAAGGTCTTTCTAGGAGTTTCTTTACTCAGCTTAACACCTGAAATCCCTCAAAAATATGATTTTTCTTTTAGTTATTTCATTTTGTAATATCATGATGAGCCTCTTTTTAAATCTGCTAATATATAATGGAAAATAAAAATGAGTCAGCACCCTGGAGCTTTCATTATCATGGCTAATTTTCTTTTTTCATAAGAACTTGAATTGACAGTGCACACTACCAATTATATTGTATGTTCTCCAAAGGATATTATTCCAACATCCATGATTACATGAATACAAGTTTGAGAAATGTTCCTGTTTGTTCAACGACAAACATAGGAAGATGCTAACTTCCCGTCAGCTTACAACACCCTGCACCACTCTATTGTGATCTATGTAATCATAACTTAAAGGTCCCCTATTATACTGTTTTTCATCAATATATTATAGGTCTCAGATATATACAAAACATGTCTCTGTTTGGCTGAAACACCAAACAGATCATTGCAGCATCCCATAATCCCCTCTGTTTCAGCCCTGTTTCAAAAGTGCTGATTCTCTGTCTGTTACTTTAGATGAAAATAAGGAGCCCCTCACCACGCCCCTCTGAGAGAGATTTGGTTAAAAAGAACACAATGGTGCTCTAGGAGGAGATTCAGGTGATAAGGTGGGGGGGGGGGGGGGGGGTACCTTGGTTGCTGATTGGCTAATGGTTACACAAGACAAAACATCGTTATGACATCACAAAGTGGCCAAAATCTGATCAGCTCATTTTCAGACAGGTTTTTATATAAATGGATCAGGAGAAAAAGAGAGAGAATCTTTGTTCCTGAAACTTTCAGAGTCTCTTTCCACAGAGGGGACACATGTTGATGTAGAAGAGACATGAAGAAGAGGGGACACATGTTGATGTAGAAGAGACATGAAGAAGAGGGGACACATGTTGATGTAGAAGAGACATGAAGAAGAGGGGACACATGTTGATGTAGAAGAGACATGAAGAAGAGGGGACACATGTTGATGTAGAAGAGACATGAAGAAGAGGGGACACATGTTGATGTAGAAGAGACATGGAGAAGAGGGGACACATGTTGATGTAGAAGAGACATGGAGAAGAGGGGACACATGTTGATGTAGAGGAGATATGAAGAAGGGGATTTTGCATAATAGGTGTCTTTCAACATGTCTGTAAGTTTGAGATGATTCATGTTTGCACTCACCATCCTGCAGCTGAGGTTTGGTGGGACGGTCTCACATCTGATTGGAGAAGGAGGTGGGCTGCTGCTCATAGCCCTGGCTGTACCCCCCCTCCTCGTTATACCCCTGCTGGCCGTACTCGGGCTGGTACCCTCCCTGGGAGCCGGCGTAGGGGTCCTGCTGGGCGTAGCCTTCCTGGGCGAAGGAGTCAGGGGCGGGCTGCTTCTCCTGAGACGGGACGTATGTTCCGCCGAAAGCGGCCATCCAGCCGGTCTCCTTGAACACGAACCACAGGTTTCCTATCCACAGGATCAGGTTGATGAAGCCGAAAGCCTGGGGGTAGGGAAAGAGAGGGAGGTTTGGAAATGTGAGATTTAGTGTTTCAGGTCTCAAGATCCGCAAAGCTATTTCCGTTGACTCCTTTAAAAGCAAACTCAAAACCCATCTCTTCGCATCTGTCTTCCTTATCAACTAGCTTCCATCACCTTGTTTCGGCTCATCATTACCATCACTTCAGTCACATGCTTTTATCCAATGGCAATACTAATGTTGAGGTATAATGTCGTATAATGTTTTTATAATTGTTATGCTATGATGTTTGTATTTTGTTTTTGTCTTTGCTTTTGTTTACTTTGTACAGTACAGCCCTTTGAGGCATTTCTTGTGATTTGGCAACCCAGTCTCACGGCATTTCGTGTTATTAGTCACGAAATTAATTTAATCTATTGATTCGTGTTCACAAACACGATTTTCACCTTTTTTTCGTGTCAACGATTTTAAATGCAATGTATTTCTATTGGTAGTATGTTTCGTGCCTGCAACACATCTTTTTGTCCGGTCGGGTCTTGGAAGACCAGAAGCTGTGTGGTTCATAAAAACATGTTCTTACTCAATATCTTACCCTAAGCCTAACCCTATCCCTTTTATTTTAAATTGTATAATGTCTGAGTTTTTTTGCCGTCCATGAGGAAAATAAATGGCTCAGAGCCTCAGAATACTGAAATCTGTATTTTATGTCATATTTTTTTCCTTCTAATTTGTTATTATTTGGTGCAGGCACGAAACATATGACCAATATAAATACATTGCTTCTAAAATCGTTCTGTGTCAGAATATTGAAATCTGTATTTTTTTTTATCTGTTTTTCCTTCTAATTTGTTATTATTTACATTGCTTTTAAAATCGTTCTGTGTGACACGAAAAAAATGGCGAAATCGTGTTGGTGAACACGAATCAATAGATTAATTTCGTGACTATAACACGAAATGCCGTGAGACTGTGTTGGATTTGGGGCTATAATACATTTTTATTAGATTTTTGATTTTTGATTCATGATTAAAAGACTCTATAGTCGTATTCACAATAGAGTGGTGCAGGAATGAGTCTTAAAAGCGGAAATTAGCGACCATTTTAGCACTTTTTGTTTCCCCGTCTTAAGGTCAAGGACTTTAGGTAAGATGCCTGAAATAAGATCTGCGGTTAACACAAGCTGAAGAGATGAGGGGTTTGGACACGTGAGATTTAGTGTCTCAGGTCTCCAGATTAAAGGATTTATAGAAGTATTGACAAAAGAGGGGTGTCGGAAAGAGTCCGAAACACAGAAATTAGTGAGCTTTATAGCACCTTGCGTTTCCTCTTCTCAAAGTCAATGGGATTTTGGTTGTTATCCTGAAATAGGGTCTGTATGTTATACGACATAAACTACGTCAGTTAATACCCCACTGGTGAATTTAAAAACAGTGGTTGCTAACAAGTGTCTAAATGAGACGACTAAACGTCATCACGCCCAACATTAGCCGCCTTTAGCTTAGCGGCGGTGACGTGAAGTCATGTGACCGTGCTGTAGTTCCTTTATAGCCCAACATTAGCCACCTTTAGCTTAGCGGTGGTGACGTGAAGTCATTGTGACCGTGCTGTAGTTCCTTTATAGCCCAACATTAGCCACTTTTAGCTTAGCGGTGGTGACGTGAAGTCATTGTGACCGTGCTGTAGTTCCTTTATAGCCCAACATTAGCCACTTTTAGCTTAGCGGTGGTGACGTGAAGTCATTGTGACCGTACTGTAGTTCCTTTATAGCCCAACATTAGCCGCCTTTAGCTTAGCGGTGGTGACGTGAAGCCATGTGACCATGCTTTAGTTATTTTATAGTCCAACATTAGCCACCTTTAGCTTAGTGGTGGTGACGTGAAGTAATGTGACCGTGCTGTAGTTCCTTTATAGCCCAACATTAGCCACCTTTAGCTTAGCGGTGTTGACGTGAAGTCATGTGACTGTGCTGTAGTTCCTTTATAGCCCAACATTAGCCGCCTTTAGCTTAGCGGTGGTGACGTGAAGTCATGTGACCGTGCTGTAGTTCTTTTATAGTCCAACATTAGCTGCCTTTAGCTTAGCGGTGGTGACGTGAAGTCATTGTGACCGTGCTGTAGTTCCTTTATAGCCCAACATTAGCCACCTTTAGCTTAGCGGTGGTGACGTGAAGTCATGTGACCGTGCTGTAGTTCTTTTATAGTCCAACATTAGCTGCCTTTAGCTTAGCGGTGGTGATGTGAAGTCATGTGACCGTGCTGTAGTTCCTTTATAGCCTAACATTAGCTTTTTACTTCACAAATCATAAAGTGGTGTTAATATGTGGAGATTATCCTGCTGAACAAAATGTGTAAGTATCATAAACGTTTGTTTGACACAGAGTTTATATTCTTCAATAATCCGAAGTGCTTTTAGACGAGGGAACAGGAAGTGAGGAACAACAAGACAAAACGTTAAAATCTCTTCAGCTTGTGTTAACCACTGACCTTATTTCAGGCTAACCATTGACTTTCTAGTCGAGGGAACAGGAAGTTCTAAAAGGAGTAATTTAAAGATTTTTTGGACTAATTCCTACAGCTCTCCATAAAGCTAGTCTTCAGGAAACTTTATATAGTTTTGTTTAGCGGTGACGTACCACAGAGGTGTTGAGGCCGGACACTTTGGGGTCGTTGACTTCACGGCAGCGGTTCTCCGGTTCCTCGCAGGCGGCGATGAGCGTGACGACCCGCTCCGGATCCGTGGCTGTTTTCACGTCCGATAAACCTTTAGCCCAAGCACATGAGGAGACCAGCCACATGAAGGCAAACACTGCCGACACCACGAAGTCCTGCGAGACAGCGAGAGAGAATATAAAGTTAACAACAACCACAGGTGGAAGAAGTATTAGGATAATTTACTGAAATACAAGTACTGAGGCAAGACACGTTTATTTATATAGCACTTTTCAACACAAGGCAATTCAAGGTGCTTTACAAAATGAAAGACATTAAGAGCCTAAAACACATTAGAAACATTAAAAAGCAAAGATAATAAAACATTAATAACACAGGTACATGAATAAAAGTTACAGTGCAGTGTCCGATGTGAATAGTTCAATTAAAAGCAGCGGCAAAAAGAAAGTCTATACGGCCTGGATTTAAAAGTAGTAAGCGACAATGACAATATCCTTAGCCAAATTCTCACATTCCTCTACCCCTAGTCTTCCTGTGAAATCATAGTTATTTTGACAGTTTTCAAACCTTTTTAGGTAACGCAAAAGGAATCTTAAGGAGTAAAGGGACTCACGATCTGGGGCCCCTTGCAGTTTTCGCGGTACTTCTCCAGGAGGAAGCAGTACACAGAGAGGGAGGCCATGGCGTAGAGGAAGGAGAAGACACCGATGGTGACGAAGAACTCGGCAGAGGAAGAGTAGTCCCCGACCAGGAAGAGGCGCTCGGGGTTCTCTCCCTTGCAGGTGGGGGCGTCGAAGTACACCTGGTGGAGCCTGGGGACAGAGACAAAGACAGAAGATAAGAGAGAGACAACAATGGAAATACAGGTCTCAGATGTAGGTACATTCTTTTATTTTTTTTACAAGACAAGTGCATACAAGTACAGTTTCACAGATACACAGAAGACAGTAAGGTGAACGTACAAGTAAAGACAAATAACAAATGACAAAATACGCATGGAGACAAAAAAGAAAACAAATACAGTGTGTGTGTGTGTGTGTGCGTGCGTGCGTGTGTCTGTGTCTGTGTGTGTGTGTGTGTGTGTGTGTGTGTGTGTGTGTGTGTGTGTGTGTGTGTGTGTGTGCGTTTGAGGGATTAGACAAAAAGAGAGTAATAAATGACAGAATTATAATTAAAATGATATGAGGGGGGGGCATGTAAATAGTAGCATGACCTTAAAGACCTTAAAGAAGTAGAAAGGGGTGGCTGATATCGTAATAAGGATTATGAATTAAATGTAGGTACATGTTGTTTTTATAGGCAATCATTTAAGCTTTGTTAGTTCCAGGTTTAATATGTGCAATAAGTTCATTTCAATAAGTTTTGCTATAAACATTGAACCAGTCCGGCCCTCGACTAGTACCCATTTTTTAATCTTGGCCCACTGTGTATTTGAGTTTGACACCCCTGATATAACAGAATAAAGAAAAATCCTCTATCACATTAGACCTTGCTGTAACATATTTGGCATTAACTATTTATCACGAATCTTTGCTTAAATGTGGATTTGAAGTTTGTGAGAAGTTGATTTTTAAAAAGGGAAACAATTGAGTTTTGAGACGTACCTGAACGGATATTCAAATTCTACTTCTATCCCGAGGTCGCTCTCCGACCGGTTTTTACACTCCACGCTCATCTTGAACATGCCGGAGTAGCTGCCGCATGTCGAGAAGGCGAAGATCGCAAAGATCTGCAGGAGAGGAAAGAAAGGAGACAAAAACTCAGTGAGAGTCAAAGGAAACACACATTTTAAATCACATTTTCCTTCATTAGATAAATAATTTAAAAAAATGGGGGGAAAAAAATTGCTCCAAACAACAATATATAAAATATCTTTACCCATACTGCATTACAACAGACAATAACAATAACAACAGTATAATAATGCTGAAATAAATAAAAAATAAAACTATTAATGTATTTTATTGTATGTAGTATTTAATGTATGTAGTTTTAGATTTTTATGAATGACCTGAATAGTATTAAAAATCCAGTTTTGTTTGTATACTGTAACCATGTAAACTACAGAGAGCAGCAGAGACGTAAACAGGTGACGGCTGCAGACTGATCGACCAATCACAGCGCATATCAATGCTTGTTGCCATGGTTACACCCACACTTGTGTTTTCTGTGGATGTTTCCTAGTATTGGTGTGCATCAATTCAGGCTCTGTTACTACCTCTCGCTGTTATGTAAATGCAGTGATGGAAGAAGTATTTCAACGCTGTTAAAATACTCCAATACAAGTAAAAGTCCTACATTACAAACAATGCTTCTCTATCAAAAGCACAAAGGTATTCGCTTCAAAATATAGGAAAAGTACCAGAAGTGACGTATTTATAATGATAACAGTACATGAATAAATGTACTGTAGTCACATTCCACCTTTGAAGTATACAGCATAAACAGACAGTGTGTAGGGATAACCTCTCTCACACACACACACACGCACACACACACACACGCACACGCACACGCACACACACACCACACACACATACACACACACATACACACATTCCACGTCACTTCAGGGGACATTACATTGACTTACATGCATTTCCTGGAGACTTATCCTAACCTTAACCATAACCAACACATGCCTAACCCTAACCCTAACCAAGTCTTCACCCTAAAATTAATGATTCCCCTGGGGACCTCCATTTTGTCCCCATAAGGGAGGCGAGTCCCCACACGTGACTGTGTAAACAGATTTAGGTCCCCACAAGTATAGTAATGCTAGGCCACACACACACACACACACACACGCACGCACGCACGCACGCACACACACACACACGCGCACGCACGCACGCACGCACACACACACACACACAGACAGCAGATTAGACACGTCAGACTATTTTTACCGCTCCCCCCTGGGCTTCGGGCAGATCCGATTGGGGGGAAAATCAAGCTATTAATCTGACGGAGGTGCTCCACCATCTGCCACCGAGTACACAAGACATCCAGTCACAACACACACACACAGCCACACCCCTACACACACACACACACACACACACACACACACACACACACACACACACACACACACACACACACACACACACACACACACACACACACACACACACACACACACACACACACACACACACACACACACACCACACACACACACACACACACACACACAGGCTCAGACACACTAAACTATTTACAGTAATCTCTCAGAGGCTCGTTGTTGGATTTACACACCACGCCTCATTGTCATTGTCACTCTTCGTCCACTTTTCCAGCAGGATTTTATTTCACAACGCAAAACACGGCAGGCTATATTTCTTCTAGTCATTCAGGTTCACTCATTATTACCTAATTTATCACTAAAACATGCAGAAAATGTGTTTTAATGGCAGTATCTTTTGATTTATGGAGTGACACAAAGACATCTCCTCTGTAAAAAACCTGGCTTTATCCAACGTTCACATTTCTGTGATAGACATTTTTGCAAATTAGCACATATTTCCTAACATAACGCCTCATTTGCATGTTTGAACATATAAATTCAGAAAACTTGTAATACAAAAAAATAGTGTCATGGTGATATCTATAAGTACATTTTTGTTTTACCCTATTCACCTTTTTAATTCTCGTGTCCTCTCCCAACACCTCCTTGTTGGCAGAGAACTAATTAACAGGTTTTAATAAGCAATGCAAATGTCTGTAGATGTGATGAAGGTGGCAGCATTAGTGAGAAGACTGCTGATAGATAACAGAATGCATTATACACTTATAGCTAAGAGAACATTGCCATCTGTCATCGGGTTTCTTAGTTACCATAAAACTCAAAAACAGAACCATTTCTACATAAGTATCACAATGTTGGAGCTATGGTCTCGTGCAAATCTTAGAAATATTAAAGCTTCATTACATTTGTCTAATTGCACACTAAAACCCAGGAAGTGTCGCTCTTAATGCACATGTGAGCTGTGTTGTCCCTTTAAAACTCTCAGACACAATACCAGGCTGTGATGCAGCACCAGCAGAGGCAGCTGTGCATAAACGAATACCTGCAGCAGCGTTTCACAACTGCAGAGTCGGCACAATCCTTCACACAGTGTGCACATTTTAACCTAAAATAAATCATGCAATCCATCTTTTTCTGATTAGTCTCAATGTGTTATGGCACTACAGCGGCTGTTTTCTTTTTCCTTTAGACTCTCAAAGGTTTCTTAGAGCCCCTACATACTATTTATTATTCCTCTGAGACATTTAGAGGTTAGGATTTCATGAGAGGGATCAATATTAAGGTTTTAAGATTTCATATCAGTATTTAGTGTCTCTACTTTAAAGAGTCCTCTCCTGCTGATGTTCAGGTGTATATCAGTATGTAGTGTCTCTACTTTAAAGAGTCCTCTCCTGCTGATGTTCAGGTGTATATCAGTATCTAGTGTCTCTACTTTAAAGAGTCTCTCCTGCTGATGTTCAGGGTGTATATCAGTATGTAGTGTCTATACTTTAAAGAGTCCTCTTCCTGCTGATGTTCAGGTGTATATCAGTGTGTAGTGTCTCTACTTTTAAAGAGTCCTCTCCTGCTGATGTTCAGGTGTATATCAGTATGTAGTGTCTCTACTTTAAAGAGTCCTCTCCTGCTGATGTTCAGGTGTATATCAGTATCTAGTGTCTCTACTTTAAAGAGTCCTCTCCTGCTGATGTTCAGGTGTATATCAGTATGTAGTGTCTATACTTTAAACAGTCCTCTCCTGCTGATGTTCAGGTGTATATCAGTGTGTAGTGTCTCTACATTTAAAGAGTCCTCTCCTGCTGATGTTCAGGTGTATATCAGTATGTAGTGTCTCAACTTTAAAGAGTCCTCTCCTGCTGATGTTCAGGTGTATATCAGTATGTAGTGTCTCTACTTTTAAAGAGTCCTCTCCTGCTGATGTTCAGGTGTATATCAGTATGTAGTGTCTCTACTTTAAAGAGTCCTCTCCTGCTGATGTTCAGGTTCATATCAGTATGTAGTGTCTCTACTTTAAAGAGTCCTCTCCTGCTGATGTTCAGGTTCATATCAGTATGTAGTGTCTCTACTTTTAAAGAGTCCTCTCCAGCTGATGTTCAGGTGTATATCAGTATGTAGTGTCTCTACTTTAAAGAGTCCTCTCCTGCTGATGTTCAGGTGTATATCAGTATGTAGTGTCTCTACTTTAAAGAGTTCTCTCCTGCTGATGTTCAGGTGTATATCAGTATGTAGTGTCTCTACTTTAAGAGTCCTCTCCTGCTGATGTTCAGGTGTATATCAGTATGTAGTTGTCTCTACTTAAAGAGTCCTCTCCTGCTGATGTCAGGTGTATATCAGTATGTAGTGTCTCTACTTTTAAAGAGTTCTCTCCTGCTGATGTTCAGGTTGTATATCAGTATGTAGTGTCTCTTACTTTAAAGAGTCCTCTCCTGCTGATGTTCAGGTGTATATCAGTATGTTGTGTCTCTACTTTAAAGAGTCCTCTCCTGCTGATGTTCAGGTGTATATCAGTATGTAGTGTCTCTACTTTTAAAGAGTCCTCTCATGCTGATGTTCAGGTGTATATCAGTATGTAGTGTCTCTACTTTAAAGAGTCCTCTCCTGCTGATGTTCAGGTGTATATCAGTATGTAGTGTCTCTACTTTAAAGAGTCCTCTCCTGCTGATGTTCAGGTGTATATCAGTATGTAGTGTCTCTACTTTAAAGAGTCCTCTCCTGCTGATGTTCAGGTGTATATCAGTATGTAGTGTCTCTACTTTAAAGAGTCCTCTCCTGCTGATGTTCAGGTGTATATCAGTATGTAGTGTCTCTACTGTGACATGTCTCCATGCTTTAATGTTCAAAAAGCTCTTTATTCTTCTCATACAGCCTGTGCTGCAGCACCTCTTTTCACCCTCTGTCTGAAACCAGAGCCCAGTCTGCTCTGATTGGTTAGCTGGCCGGCTCTGTTGTGATTGGTCAACCAGTTTAGAGATGTCCCGCCCCTTAGCCTATCACGTACAATGTGTTGGAGCGTTCTGTACGAATACTGCAATATTGGTTTAGCCTGTTAGCATGCTAATATTGACTAATTAGCACTGATGCTGTGTGTCCTCAGTTCTGCAGGTATACCAAATGTGTTGACCTGATGGTGGCACTAGATATAGTTTAGGGATCCCCAAATTCATTACATTTAACCCGGATTTAGATATAAATGTGTGCTCTGAATTTCACAACAATCCATCCAATAATTGTTGAGATATTTCTGAAGCAAAGATGGACGACCAGCAGACGTTAGCATCCCAAGCCTTCTCCCAATTAGAGTTACTTTACAGTGACAGATGAGAGGAAGGAGGAGTGATAGGGGGGAGGAATGAAGGAGTGAAGGAGGAGGGATGGAGTGATAAGGGAGGAGGAATGGAGGAGGAATGGAGGAGTGATGGAGGAGTGATGGGGGAGGAAGGAGAGAAAAGAAATGGTGGCACGCAGAGTGTTGGGTGCCATGGAAACAGTGCTGGCAGCGTCACACAGCGAGGAGGCAGAAGACGGTTTCCACACGGAGACACAATATCCGAGTGTGTGTGTGTGTGTGTGTGTGTGTGTGTGTGTGTGTGTGTGTGTGTGTGTGTGTGTGTGTGTGTGTGTGTGTGTGTGTGTGTGGGTGTCCACTACTGATGTATGAAATGAAAGTAGAGGATGATGCATCGAGACGTTTTAATGATGCT